GGATCTTGGGCACGCACGCACACGCGCCCGGTGTGAGTTTTAAGCCACTGGGTCCAGGACTTGAACCGCGGTTGACTACGTGGGAGTCTAGCGACAGCCATTATGCTAACTGCTGGTTCCCAAATTAACACATTCTTAAGCAACCAGTGGATCAAAACATCACAAGAGAAGCTCAAAAGTACTTAGGGACAAATGAAAATGAACACTCCATGCTGTGGGAACCGAGCTGGAGGTGAGAGCGGCCAAGTGCACCCACCAACACAGAGCGGAGGGGCCGAGGGGGCCTGTTCAGACTGCAGGCAGGACTCCCACACAGCTCAGCACAGTTTGAGTCCTGGACCTGGCGGCTTGCCTTCTCACTCCCCACCCCCTGGTTAAATTTAATAATAATAATAAATAACTTTTAATAAAAAAATAACATCAGTACTTCTCTAACTCCTGAAAGTATACGAGGAGGGAACACCTTCCCACTCGCTCTGGAGCCGCAGTGCCCGGTGCCAGCTTGACCAGGGTCCGGTAGGAAGGCCAACACCAGACCCTCGAGGGCAGGAGTGGGTGGAGTCAGCAGCAGGTGCATGGGGTGCCCGCCACGGTCAAGTGGGACACACCCCGGGACTCGATGCTTTAGCATGTGCAAATGACATGTCACGGGGCAGAGTGAGGGCAAGGCCCCATGTCACTGTGCCTGAGAGCACATTTGACAAAACTCGATACCCTTTAATGGTTAAAAAAAAGTTGGAATGAAAAGAGCCCACTTGCACCTAGTACAAGCCATCGTGAATAACCCAGAGTCGGCTCGGCAGGCGGCCTGGGGGCGAAGGCGCTGGAACCCTCATGCCGGGCCCCATCGGGAGTTCCGTACCCAGCTGCTTGAGAACTGTCCTGGGCGCGCGTGCACTCAGAACGCAGAGGGCAGTGCAGAGGGCTGCAGCGCGGCCGCCCGGGGGACTTCTCCCTGCCTGCCCCGCCAGCACCAGTCTCGGGCAGCACACACGCCCTCCCTCACTTTCCCCCTCGTAGCAAAGGGCTAAGATAGGAAAAAGAGAAAGTCCCAGGGCCAGCGTGCTCACGGTGGACAACCGACAGTTCTCTCACCAGGACCAGGCAGGAGCGGGCCCTCCTGTTCCTCTCGGAGCCTGGCATGCACGTACACAAGCCCGTGTGCCTTCCTCGTGCCGGGCTGGCCTCCGACCACTCTGTCGACCGTGTGGGCCCCAGCGTCTGGCCAGCACGCCACCCGCTGGTCCTCTGTGACTGACACGTACCACGCTGGGAGCGCAGCCCGTGCACGGCTGTGCTGTGGGGGCCGAGGCGCGTCAGCCTAGCCGTCGTCCCACACGGCGTCACGTAGAATCTTTATATTTCTGTTTTACCTGTTATTTTTACATTTGCTGCAGGACACACGCACTCACCAGAGAGAAGTAGGGAAGCAAGTCACCAGATCTGGGACTCAAACCTCAGTCGGCCATGTGGGAGGCCAGGGCCTTAGCACAGCCACCTGCTGGCCCCATCAGGGGACTCTCAAGGAGCCCAAAGCAGCCAACGCAGTTCTGAAAGAGCGAAGCTGGGGCCTGCACTTCCGATTCCAAACCTGCCCTGA